CGGGGACGGGGCCGGGGCCGGGGCCGGGGATGCCAAAACTGGGGCCGGAGCCGGTGATGGGGACGGTGATGGGGCCGGTGATGGGGACAGAAACGGGGCCAGTGATGCCAAAACTGGTGCCAGAACCGGTGCCGGAGCCGGTAACGGGGACGGTGATGCCAGATCCGGTACTGGTGATGCTGGTGCCGGTGCTGGAGCCGGTACCGGTGATGGGGACGGTGCCGGTGATGCCAGATCCGGTGCTGGTGATGGGGACAGTGATGCCAGAGCCGGTACCGGTGATGCCAGTGCCAGTGCTGGAGCCAGTACCGGTGATGATGGAGCCGGTGCCGGTGATGGGGACGGTGGTGCCAAATCCAGTGCTGGTGCTAGATCCGGTGATGCTGGAGCTGGTGGCGGTGCTGGAGCTACTAACGGGGCCGGTGATGCCAGAGCTGGTGGTGGAGGCGGTAACGGGCCCGGTGATGCCCAAACTGGTGTTGGTGCTGGAGCCGGTGATGCCAGAGCTGGTGCTGGTGTTAGTGCTGGTGACGGAGCTGGTGCCGGAGCCGGTAACGGGGATGGTGATGCCAGAACCGGTGCTGGAGCCTGTGATGGAGCCGGTAACGGGGATGGTGATGCTAGAACTGGTACCGGAGCTGGTGATGGAGCCGGTGACGGAGCTGGTACCAGGGCCGGTGATGCCCAAACTGGTGCTAACGGGGCCGGTGATGCCAGAACTGGTGCTAATGGGGATGGTGATGCCAGAACCATTGCCAGAACCGTTGCTAGAGCCGGTAACGGGGATGGTGATGCCAGAACCATTGCTGGAGGCGCTGATGGAGCCGGTACTGGGGCCGGTGATGCCAGAACTGGTGCTAACGGGGATGGTGATGCCAGAACTGATGCCAGAACTGATGCTGGAGCCGGTGATGGAGCCGGTGACAGAGCCGGTGATGCCAGAACTGGTGCTGGAGCTGGTAACGGGGATGCCGGAACTGTTGCCAGAACCGTTGCCAGAGCCGGTGATGGAACCGGTACCGGGGCTGGTGATGCCCAAACTGGTGGTAACGGGGCCGGTGATGCCAGAACTGTTGCTGGAGCCGATACCGGGGCCGGTGATGTCAGAACCGTTGCCAGAACCGATGATGGAGCCGGTGCCGGAGCCGGTACCGGGGCCGGTGATGCCAGAACCGTTACCGGCCCCACCGCCGGCCCCATCACCACCATCCCCATCGCCATCACCACCATCCTCACCGAAGCCTTCGTCATCCCCGTCCCCACACCCGCACCCGCAGCGGCACCGGCAGCCCCCCCGTCGCCGCAGCTTCTCCAGGAGCTGCCGTTTCTCCTCCTGCAGCCGTTGGAGGTGGCGCCGCAGCCCCGGCAGCTCCCGGGCCTCCTCCTCCAGCTCCCGCAGCCGGCCTAGCGCCGCCGCCATCTGCTCCCGCACCAACCGCAGCGGCACCGGGCCCGGAGAACCCCCCGGGGGCACCCCCGGGGACAGCGGGACCCCTGGTGGCCCCCCCAGTGACGTTGGTGGCCCCCCCGGTAACGGTGGTGGCCCCCCCGGTGACGTTGGTGGCACCCCCGGTGATGGCGGCACCCCCGGTGATGATGGTGGTGGTAGGCCCCACGATGATGATGATGGC